GTTCTAGGGTGCAACAAGAGTATGACAGTTTGCTTGTTAATGCATTGAACCATATTTTTAAAAGCAATCTGTCCTTGAATAATTTCAAATGACTGCTTACAAAACTGGAGCTTTCGTGTGTTCGAAATATTATACCCCGTTCTAGAAAACGCCTCTGAAATGGATACCCCGTTCTAAACCCGGAGCTTCAAAATCACGACCCCGTTGGGCGGCACATACCCGTATAGGTAATGTATGGCAGTACCCCCACCCCCCCCCCCCGGACCTTAACTTTGTTGTGGTAAATAAAAATGCAAAAAAGAACTTTTGTATTTATGTGTTGGTTTGCTTAGTAAAAGTAGGGTGTTATGGTGGTATAGTGTAAAGATCAAGGCTTTTGAAAACCATAATACCAGCCCTCCATAACTTTAACAGCCAAAAATTTACAGTAATCCAAAAATAACATGGGGGGAGGGGGATCAGGGAAGGGGAATTATATTCTTTAAACAAAGGTCCAATTTTCCCAAGGTAAAGGGGAGGGGTTCTCTATAATGTTCTATATGGGGAGGCTCTGCCCAAAGGCTTTAGGTATATGAAAGGGTAGTGGTGTCGCCAGTTGAAGTATATGAAAGGGTAGGGAAAGCTCTCAAACTGGTCTGTAAAAAGGCCGGAAAAGGCTAACAGATACGTCTATGGCTCTGAGAAAGTTGAGAAAACATTTTTTTGGTGAGCTATTCATATTTTAAAAGTTGGTGAATTTACAGCTGTTAAAAAAAAGGTCTTAACTAGATATGTGAAGGGGGTACCAATAAATGTTATTGTCAATGGAAGGTTTACTACTAAAGGGGTACTGTATTTCCTTGAACAACACCTGGCGGCGATTATTCAAGGGAAGGAATTATTCAAGAGTTGCGGTTATTTCAAATATTGCTCACTGGAAGTTGTGCCCTAAATATTTTGTTTTGGTATATACTAAAACAGTGGATAGTGTTTTTCGCACGCTCTGATTGGCTACTCAATCAGTGAATATCCTGCACTATTAACTGATTCACCTCAAGTTCCTCTGAGCGATCGACGCCAAACTCACGTAAGTTGCGAGCAAAATGCCTTCCCGGTTTGCTGCTGTAACAAACAAAGAAATTTCACAACTAATCAAGCTTGCAAGCTGTTCCCGAAATACACGAAGAAGGTGACAAAGTTTGGTTTGGAAGTTTGAACAGGTAAAGCTTTGTCTTTTTTACTTGAATTTATCGATAAAACCAGTGAAAAAGTTTTTTGTTTACAAATGCAAATTAAGCTTAAGTCTTGCGTTACTTTATTTAGTTGACTTGTTCATAAATAAGGTTAAAACTAAATTTAATAATCTTTTTCACAGAATGATTTTAAATATAAAAAGAATTTACAACTCCTTTGAAAGAAATTTCCCATAAGAGCTAAACAACTGCCTTCTGAAGTTTTATTTGTCGGCAAGAAAAAGCGACGGCCGTGGCTGTTCCATCATTGCGCGCCAAAATTGTAATCGTTGCAGGCAACAGTAAATGAGTTTAAAATCATCATTTTTGTGCTCAATTATCTCACTGTTTTAGTATATACTAAAACAATTATTCACCTCAGTGTCAGTGGCTAGTGGTGTAAGAGAGCAAATGGGTTATTCCAGAAAAAATCCACACCCCCATGACAGAAGGCACGGTTTTTTGACCCCCCATTCCACCTGGATTTCCAAAACTGCTTGAGCCCCCCTCCCCTCAGGATTTCCAAGTTCAAAAACCCCCCCACCCATCTGGTTAGACACTGTAATTTTAATTTACACTCAATGTAGAAGAATCCTTTAGGCACTTAGGTGATCTTTTTATTAAATAAGTCTCAATTTTCCGTGAATTCTGTGTTTGTTGTGAAAACAAACGCTTTTCTGAGCACTTTTTCATGAATTATCCGATTTTTCTTGATATCTTCAAGTTATTTCACGTCGCTTCTACAAAAGTATAAACGAGGGCGAGCCTATGGATGGAAACTTCAAATAAACGTAGTAAGAGGTCTGTAGTTTGAAAGAATAATAAAATTTGAAAGGGCAAAGCAATTTTTTGCAAACTTATTGATTAAAGCGATTGAAACATCAATGAAATTGAACATTACCCCCGAGGATGTATTTTTAGGTTCAGAGCCCCCCTCCCATCTGGCTTTCCAGAGCCGTTAACCCCCCTCCTGTGAGATTTTCCAGCATGCCTTCCGTCGTGGGGGTGTGGATTTTTTCTGGAATAACCCAATTCATGTCATTAGTTTTGTTTAGTTGGAGTACAAACAAATTTCATCCTGTTTATAACTGGGACAGACTCGCAAAAAAATCATATACCCTGTTTGGGACAGACTCGCAGGAAAATTATATACCATGTTTAGGACTGAGAGGTAAAAAACCAAACCCTGTCCAGCAGCACTTCCCCATATAGGCCATGCAAGGGAGTACCCCCCCGGCAGAAAAGGTCCCCTAATGGGTGGAGAATCCCTGTAAAGTCCATCGCGGGAAGGAGAATACACACGCTGCACCCCACCCCCACCCCTACCCCACCAAATATCGTATTATTGAGTTACATCAGCTGCTACTTAGCCAGATTTTTTACCTATTTTCCCCTCAAATATAAATTAAAAACCTCCTTTGTTCGTATAACGAGGCATTTCAGATACAGAAAATTGTTTAAACACGTCGCATTTCATGACAGAAGGGCCAGAAGGGGCTTAAGATTACGTGACGAAACTATGGCTTATCATCTTCGCTGTTGTAGCAGTAAAAATAAAGCCCTTAAAAATATATCCATCCATTTCTGTTATCTCCTTTAGCCGTCCAAGTCTTTAACCTTTACCCATAGATGTGCAGGCTAATATTTCTTTCTAAATACACGAATGGTTTTATATGTAAACAACGAAAGTTTGTTGTAATAAAGTAAGCTCATATTTATACATACGTGATGCGTTGCGTGACTTTATCGGACTCCCACAGTTCCAGGAATTGGAGAAATTTCTCGGAAGGCAATTATACTTTGATTACATCTCTTTGGCGAGCTGTAAGAGTAATCATTAAAGAATCAAAGAATTTGATAATAATGCCAATAACCTGGAATTTTTTTTCGTGAAGAAAAACAAATCTGAAGTCGAAAGTGAGAGTAGGTCCAGACTCCACGCGGAACAGAAAATGACGCCTGCCGTAAAATGTCATTTTCGGGATTTTAAGCCGTTTTTGAGTTATCGGCTGCTAGAATTTCTAATTTCCATTCTATCTCTGTTATGAAAACATTATCCAAGTGGAGCTGACGTTGATAAAGAGGTCTGCGAAAGGGAAAAGTCCCGGTGCAACAATATAATTTAATTTTGTTTTGAGTATGCATCGAGTTGCCATTTATTCACACACGTTTTATAATCACACCGAACATCTAAAACTTTCAAGCCGATTTTCGGATCATTTCTTACAAGCCCTAGCAATTCATTGCAGGCTTTTATGTCGAACAAGGTGCCAATGTTTGTCAAGCTTCGAAAGTGAACTGTTTACAGACACTTTCTAGCCGTGTGATAATACAAATATCATTTCAATCACAGATTCGTTGATTAAAGCCTTAGCCTAGAAGACGTTTCGTTAAGAAATTTGAAAACAGAAAAACAACATAGATCAAACAAGATAAAATAAAATTGTAAATTTATTTCTTAACAAATTCTTTGTGTTATTTACACGAGACTTAATCAGCTTTATTTTAAAGTTAATTTTATCCTTTTAAATGCTTATCCCTTTTCTCTGGTTCAACTGATTACGACTGTAAAGCTAGCCCAAAGAAGTCGTTTGTTTCCATGTAATAACAATGAAACATTCTAGGTTATCTTAGACTTTTCTAGTGCATATACTCCAAAAGGACTTTGTAGTCACTTCAAATGCAGGAACTCATGTTAAGGCATTATCAATATTATTCTACGTAACGGAAATAGGGTTCCAAATTTTCAACTCATTGATACAAATTCTTGGCAATACAAGTGAAAGGAAAGGAACAATGACGTTAAAGTAGTAGTCTTTCGTTTTACTGTATCTTATGATAATAATAATAATTTGGCTGTGAATAAAGCTATAAAACTGGCCTTTGGCACTCAAATTGAAGCTACACTAAGCAGTGCATTTTTATTTGCTACGCCGTAAAAGGTTGATTGAGCGTTTAAGTCTGTGGATAAATTCCGGCATCGTGTTCATTCAAAACAAAGTTATTATTAAGTACTATCGTATGGTATTGACGGTTTTTCTTATCTTCTTAAAAGGGGAATGATAACCACACTTTGAAACCTCAAAGGGTTTAGTTCTAGATAAAAGAAAATATTTTTGAACTGCAACGCGATCTCGCCTGAATGACCACTCTACGAATGAAAAATCATCTTCTTTGATCACAAGCTGGTTTGTGACAGGTCAAGGATCTTTCTTTGATGATAGCAGATGCCCTTTCATCCAGACAGGACCTCTATTCTTGGCTATTCTTGCCTGAAAGTAAATATGATAGATCAGATTCCAGTGCCAAAAGTTAAATACCGAAATGTCTGATTCGTTTTCAACAATAACTTAGTTTGATTCCTTGTCAAAAATCATCCTCTATAGAAACTAGAGAGATCTTTCAAAAGAGAAATACAGACACAATGCATGTCCTTCTTTAGTTTAATACCAATACGTATGCAAATGGCTTTAAAGATTAACACAGCGAAACTGACAAAGTATCAGTTGATTTACATAGGTCTCTGTACAATAAGGAACTCATTAACTGAGCGGAAACGCTTCTGAAACGCTATGCACTCACATTAATTAACGACCAAAGTTTGTGTTGTTTCTGTTGATGGAATTTTTAGAGTGCAAATCCAGGTAAAAATACTGAGAACTTCGAGCAGAAGCACCTTTCTGTCAGAATTGTTCGGTGGTAGGAAAATGAAAGTGCAGATATTGTTTCAGTTTTCGACTGGAGCGATGAAAGAGTAAAAGATCTGAGATAAAAACAATTATAAAGTTGTTATTTACCTGCGTCATCTTCTTTTAGATGCCATTTGTATACACTGCCATCTTGTCTGACTTTTCTTACCTTGTCTTCTACACTCTCGGAGCCGTCATCTGTTAAACAAAGAGGTAATGTTAGCACTGCATGGCGAGTTGAGAAGCCACACAAGCAGCTAGTCTTTGTAAAACGAACCATGACCTGGCTCCGGAGGTTCAAATGCTGTTGGTCCTGTAAGCGTACAGGCAGACGCTAAGGCAACCTTTTTTAGTTGCGTCTCCAGATTCTTTCCGTCAGTAGATTCAGCCATATTACTTAGGAAAGCAGAGATGTGCACTGTAGCGTAATACTGGCGAACATTAAATTCCAAAAGCAACGTGGGAGAGCAGATAATGTGAATAATACTTGAAAACAGCCTGAAGGGATGCCCCCATTGAAGTGTGTTTTGACAAGCATATGCATATCAACCAATCAGCCTCCAGCAGACCAGGACAGTGTGTCAACGTTACAGACAGCTTGTCTGCGGTAACTTTAGTTTGTATTTATTCACCCAGCCCAACATCGAATTTTATGCAGATGGCAGCCACTGCACGCAAAGTATAGTCTCGAACAGTTCGAATATTATGGACACCTCTGAAGCCCAAACGTTGATTTTTTAGCGCCTTGTCTCAACTCAACGATCGATCAGGTGAGCCGTTATGAAGGACAGAAATGACCATATAAGGTAATATTTCTCCTGTGGCGTGCTAAACAACAAAAGACTTGCTTTGCAAGCGCATTCCGTGTAAAAGATGATAACCTTAGCACTTTCGATTCTTAACCATCCACAACCTTTTAATTGTTAAACAAAATTAAAACTACTTTCTAAGCACATACTTTATCATTGACATAACAAACAACACAAACCGCAGATGCTTTATATAAATGTTTTCTCTGACGAAAACAAAAGAAGCCTTATCCATTGAAAAGTTTTCAAGGTGAGGCGACACGCTGCCGATTTGAGCGAAATGTCCACTTGACATCTTGGGGTGACAGGTATATGTGAGGAGAATCTAAGTTTTGATAATTTCAGAGCAAAATTAACTGCTTTGAAGCTATTTCAAAGACTTTGATACACACAAATTTGCTTCGTAGTGTGTCAGAGGCTTAAATGATAGAAGGAAAGAACAAGGACATGAAAATCGACCAAAATGAATTTGCGTGCAGTAGAGTATTGTCGGTGTACTTTGATCATGAAGGCGCAGTAAAGGAAATGTTCTGACACGTTAATCTGTTTCGAGTAGCTCACGCGAGGATATTTCTCGCGAGAATCAAAGAAGCAAATTGAGAAATTATCTATAAAGATCCTGGCTTGGTCTTCTTTAACAAGGAGATTAAGGTATGGTGGGTTTAGTTCACGTTGTGTGTTTAGAGTTACTGAGATATAGCTGCTATATTAATTCGTATTGTGAGGCTCAAAAAAGGAGTAGCAAGATATAACTAAGGCATGGCTTTTGATATTGTACAGGCTGACTATAGGGTTAGAGTTTTGGGAGGAAATACTACATAAAACCTCAAATAAAAACAAATGAGCAGTAATTTCTCATGGTACTGTTTATTATGATCTTCTATGTAGTTCCTAATTTTAGGTGTATACATAAAATCCTAAAGTGTGACCATTCAAATGAGAGTTTCTGAGCAGTACTTTCCTGTGGTACTGTTTATTATGCTGTACAAGCCGGTTCTAACTTTTGAGTCTGTGGATGAAATCCTTAAGTGTGACCATTTCAATGAAAGCTACTAAGCGGTAGTTTCCTGTCAAGCTGTTTACTATGCTGTACAAGGTGGTTCTTACTTTTGAGTCTGTGGATGAAGACCAGTCAAATGAAAGCTACTGCGCAGTATTTTCCTATGGTACTGTTTATTAAACTGTACAAGACAGTTTTACATTTAGCTCTAAAAGGCTAGCCGACCGAGGAAGAATGTATTAGTCTGTTGTTTGCTGCAATTTTTTTCTTTTTGAAATCGACCTTTGCAACGACGAGAACGTGTAATTCAAGTATAGAGCAAACTAACGAATTCTGTTACTAGTAAGAAATAAAAGATTTGGCTTATCACTTTGAATGCTCAATGAACTTCGCCAGAGGTCAATTTAATAAAACTTTTACAAGTGTAGCCATTGTTTTAGAGCCTGAAAACAACAGTTACAATTGTAAATTACCCTTAAAAAATTTAAATTACCCCATGGAATACACAGTTGTAGTGACACACAATGTTTAAGCTGAGAAACAGTTATATGTACTAGACTAGAATTTGCCCTGGAGTCAGTTGCAATGTGGTAAACTTGTCACATCACAACACGACCACAAACAGCTCTAACAAACCTGAGACAGAGATAATATAGTCAATATAATCTGATTACTGACACCAACTTCAGGAGTAAAAGACGCAATGAAGTCTTCAAGAACGATGTGTCACGAAATATGGTCACATCAGAAAATACTGCATTGTTATTGCAAGCACACCACTAAGAAACTGCTCCATCATTCCTGTTTAATCCCAATCGAATCCAGAACATGTTTTCTATCTAAGCTATATCACGCACAGACCAAGGTTATAACCATAAATTTCGACTTCAGTATCCCCTTAGGAAAAAATACTCTAACATAAGTGTAAAAATACAGAGATATACCAGAAAACATATATTTAACGCTTCGCTGCAAAGTATGTGAAATACAGGGTGGCAAAGCTGTGTAGAAAAACTGCTACTGTAAACAATTCTCTGGTGAAACCAAGTGCTGGCTTTGAAGGGCACCATACTACTCATCTTAAAACGATTGCGACGTTCAAAAGTAGTTTCATAACAACAAAAATTTGAACACGGGCACATTCCAAAAAAAAAAAAATCGGATATGGTAAACAGACTAACTTTACAATAACAGGAAACAAACTGAAGATACAAGGATTTCATAAGGAGAGGGCAGTTTTACAGAGGGTAATACAATATCGTATTCTTGACGTGTGTTGAATTAGATACGGACTTCAAATCATGCACAGCAAATGCAAGGATAGTGATGAACTATACTCGCAGTTTCTGAAATAAATGCTTAAACTCGCCTTGCGATCTAGGCGAAAAGATGCACAGCAATTTATTCACTTCTCCTCCACAACTATTATTCTTTTTACTTATCATTATTATTTACTCTGAGTTACAATTATTATCCAGCAGCATGTATTTTTTGGTAACTAACATAAACAGTACTTCTAGCATTGAACAGGTTAACTAACAAAAATGGGCGTACACTTGTACAAACCTCAAGCAATGCTGTCATCTAGCTGGCGATCTTAAAAATTTGCTTGCTTGCACTTTTTTCGCTGCGCAACCAAGGCAACGGAAGACATCATTTCTTAATATCTTCGGCGGGAATGCGCCTGAAATCACCGGACTTTCCCTATTCTTAGAGCTGCTATTGGTCAAATTTCTCGTGTTAATATTTAAGACTGTCGAAAATAGAAAATTTTGTTGTTGGCATAGTTTGATTGGTCAGCTTTCGTACAATAATTCGGGAGGGAATAAAACGCCGCACACGAAGCGGTGTTATTGCGTTTTTTTGCGCAGAGAAAGGGAGTACCAATTTAGTATCAACGCTTATTTTTTGGAAACTTCACTATGGCACAGCCACCTGACCCTTACGGCGGAAATCTTTATGAAATTCTTAAGATATGGGTTCCGACCCATGGTGTTATAAACGTTTATCGAAAGCCTGGTCGTGTGGGCGGAGGTAGGAACAAATTAAGCTGCGTGTAGAAAGTAAGCAGGAACGATGGTTCTAACCCGACTATTCCTTTTCACAGAGTACCATGTCGATAACGGATTTTTACTGAAAGATCCCGTTTCTTCATACGGCATAGAAACGTTGCGAATTCTGGCCTCCCATGGAAGTGTCATTAAAATAACAAGAGATGGTAGCCTTCCAAAAGTTCAGAATAAGTATACAATCACTCCTCCCGAACTAGCCGTGGACGCATCCACAGTGAACGTCAAGGATTGGTGAATGAGCGTAGAAAGACTGAAGGTAAGTGACGTTTTTACACCATAATCTGCGAGTGTCCGGCAAGGGAAAAATTTAACATCAATTCCGCGAGAGCTGTAGCTTCCTTCAAGATTCTATTAAGTTTTAGCTTCCTTTCAAGCATATACTTCTGCGTCGGCCTGTTGACACGTTGTCTTGCTGTAAAACTGTGTTTAGGGTAACTTCCCAAGTGAAGTCAAAGAATCTTCATGTACTGTCAGTCCCAAATAAGCCAAGTATTTTAGGTCTCAATGCTTCTCTTTTCAGTGTCTTATTTGCATTTCTTTTTCAGAATTTCAAGTCCTCGGCGTTAGGCAAGAGGAGAGAAGAAATTGTGTGTTTGTGCTGAATGTTATGTCGCTGTATATGTCTCAGTAGAAATAAAGTTTCATATGTCTTGTCAAACAAGGAGTTTTGGTTGAGTTTTTGCTTGTAGAAGTCGGTCTACCGAAGGACGAGAACTTGTCTCCATTATCCAACATTGCATGATAAATATAGCATATGACGAAATGCGATCTAATTGAGTTTGCGCAAAGGAGGTCTACGCAATTCTTTTACGACGCACAAGCTATTTGCGCCAAGTGTTAAGAACGTATCGATCAAAATATTTGAAAAGCGAGGAAATATGTCAGGACATGAAGTATACGAGGCAAGTCAAAACGACTACATTGAAGTAGTAAACATAGGGGAAGACAATAGCGATTCAGAAGTTACCATTTTCTATCGACCGAACAAAGGTTTGCATTTAGTACAATATTCCACCTTAGAATATCACCTCGCGACAGAAATTTTGTATACGCGATCTTATACCGTGTATTTCTGGTTGCATTGCTAGGGTTTAAAATTGTCAACGCCTATTTAGTAAGTGAAAAACAAAGAACAAGACATGGAAGGGACTATACCATGTTGAATATTGTTTCTAGCAAAGCAAATCGATTTGTGGTTCGCCGGTACGACGATGGAGGTATATGCAGTTACTCAGACCGCTTACATTACGGATTTTTTTAACGCATTTTTGAAAATGACATAAATATCTCAAAAAATCTTAATATTTAGAGTACTATCTGGAGAACGATGACGGATTTTGGATGACTGAAGATCAAGTCAACCTGAATTAATATCAAGGTGGATACAGATATATATTTTTGCATGGACCTTTCATTTTGAAACGAACAATGTTGCAAAACAAAGAAAATTTACAACACTCATGAGATCTAATAACACGAGTTTCGTTTCTTTTTATCAGATAGCCGGCGCAATTGAACTAGAAGACTACCGTGACAAGTTGCAATACCTAGCACGGCAGTGCTAATTACCTGTACACTCTGTTTAGAACAATAAAGAGAAATTCGTGACCACGTTGTTGTGTCTAAGAACAATCGAGCTTTTGCCTTAAACGCGGGAAATACTTTACGTAATTGCTTGATAATACAACAACTTTTATCCCGGAACAACTACATTGTTCGTAAAAAAGCGTGAAATATATTAGCGTCTGATTTTCACACTCGCAAATATTGAGCTGCCCAGGGAAAAATTATGATGAAATATGATCAAAATGTGGATTCTCCTATTACGCTGTTTAATTGCATTTCGTAGATAAGCTTAGTCTGCTGTTGACAAATGTTGTGATAAGAAAAAATTACGGAACGCGACACCCCAAATCTCCTTTAGGGCAAATGGTGCTGAATGCAGCAACCTATGGATTCAGTGAATGAAGCACAAACCATTTTGCGCTTGAATGAAACAACACAGTGCTACGTGCGTGTGCAAGACTGCGCGTAAGTTATTCACAAAAATATGCATACATTAGCCATTGCGCACGTCGCTTTTCCCATCTTTTCGCATTTTAAATACATAACATTTCAAAATAACAAGCTAGCCGCGTTTGACCAACCTCACTATTTTTCTTGATAAAAGCGCAGCTGTAAGGACTTAACATATCGGGCTGAAAATATGCGTCAGACGGCATGCATTGTTTAGACCAAATCTACATTTCTTGCCGTAAATTTTACGCCTACTTACGCGCGCGTGCGCGGGAAAACGCGCGAGAGTAATGCTATCTACTCGTAAGCAAAGTTCAAGTCCCTTCAGTGAATACAAAACGGATTGATCGACAAAGCAGCATGAGCGGAAGGGAGCCCGAAGATCCATCTGGTCCATACTTTGAAATTATTAAGGTTGGAAGGCATTGGCACTGGTTTCCAGATGTCACAATCTACTACGTATCTCAAACCAGAAGTAAGTGCGTAGATGTTATTCTGAACGCTTTTCAGCTTTTCCACTAGATCTATCTCACTCTAATCAACTTCTGGTTGTGTCAATTGTCTTAGAGTTTAAGATTAAAGGAGGCTGCAAAGTAAGGGAAGATTCGTTGCAGAATTACCGCGATATAACCGTCGTAATGAACAGGGACGAAAATCACATTTTTCAAATCAGACGCCAAAAAGGAGGAGGTAAATAATGCGCTTTGAAGTAAAAAGTTTCTATCTACACTAGCAAACTGTTCCCCATTTAAGTTGCATATTTTGTGTTTTAGTATACTCAGTGAACACTGATGGATACTGGTTAACTGAACCCAAGACATTTAGAGTATGATTGAGGGCAAAGTAAGGTAATTTGACTAGTTAAATTCCTTGAAAAATTCAGTAATGATATACTGAAGTTCCTGTTTTGCATGTTTGGTTCACTGAGTAGTTTTACCACTACTGCAGCATTTCATTGGTTCTTTAGTACATGTCAAGGACGACAGTGTAGCTGCGCTATTCTTCACAAGTTAAGCCATACTGAAAATTTGCAATGAAAAATTCGTATGGTCAGCTAACTCAAACGTGTGTAAATTCGCTGGTGATTGGCTTGTTCATTAGAAGTTGGAGAGAAGGAGCAGTTTCTGCAAAAAGAATAAAGAGCTGTGGAAAAATTTAGAGTCTTGGTACCTCTCGTTAATTGGCCTGGCGAGGTTTCTAGTCACATGGAACCCCTAACAAAGATTTACACGGTACCCACTTGGAGTAGAACTGATTATTAAAATACTTATCCCAAATAATCTATCATTGTTGAATAAAGCGATAAATTATCTTCAATTGTAATAATTGAAATACAGCTGTATGTGGCTTCATATAGCCGAAAAGCTAAAAATAACACGTATTAATTTGATTGATAGGTATCAAGTGTAACAATTAGTCTGCTCATCAAAACTAATCTTTTGTTCTTATTGTAGGTCATGAGCATGAAACAACCACAAGGGTTTAGCATGTCCGTCTAAAAAAATGTCGACAGTAGGAATTTATATTAGCAATCGATCTGATTTCTATACACTGTTAACATCTTTTTATTCGACTTTGGTTTAAAATTAAAAAAATGTGAGGTGCAAACTGCGTCTCTCTGACTAATATAGACGAAGTACACGTTTCTTTTGTAACGTTGTCGCACAATCTCAGGGCTAAGAATTTGTCACCTTACAAAACGTACAGACTATGCACGTGTACAAGCGTCATGGGATATTTGTGGCGAGGGTATGAAAATCACATCACAGGGGCAAAATCCGTCCCAAGGACAACACAGTTTATTCACTGAATAGAGTTAATGAAAGAAATAATGTATGACATTGAATTCTGTCGTTAATGACTGATTTCTGCGAACGTACTCAGCCAAGCAAAAATTCTTAGGTCATTTGGAAAAAAGATAATCCTGCCATGCGCATGCTAATCACGTGACCGCATAAATATCTATGAACAATAAAGGCATTTGGCGCTTAAATTTAATTTTGAGAATGAAATGAACATTCCGTCACAGACAAAAGTTTCCACGCTAAACAACCGTCAAAACTGAAGATGTCGAGGGGCCATCAAAATCCAGAACCAATGGACGATTATTGCGAAATTGTACAATTAGGAAGACGAGGTGTTCGTCGCTGCGATGTTACAGTATTCTACAAGTCTGTAGGACGAGGAGGTAAATAAAGCGTTTTCTACCTTTGTTTGACCAAAACAGGGAATTGCGTATGTTGTAAAGATGTCCAATGCCTTGCTTTGTTTGATAGAATTTGACGTAGACGGAGGAACAATTTTCTTGGAACAAAAACGTTCAGGAAATCGACTATTGACCATTGTGTCCAAGAATGGGGATACAATTGAACTCACTCGAGAGAGGAGAGGAGGTAAATAATACTGTTTATTTCCCTTAGTTGTTGAGATCAAGTGCAAATGAATGACTAAAAACTTAAAATTTTTCTCCAAGAATACCACATACATACTGACGGATTTTGGATCACAGAACCGGAGATTGTTTGGGTAGACAACTAAACACAAGGTACGAAATTGACATTGCAGTTCACAAGAATTAAGCCGTATTTCATCGCGTAATACGCGGAATACTACAGACGTTGTGACGCAGCCATTTCTCCGATGTGTGTAACGTCGCGGAAGAGAAGATACTTGTGCGCGCCCTCTTTACAATATATACTATTAAGCTAGGACGTCAGCATGAAAAAAGAATGTAGCTCAAACGTGCAAAAAAGTAAGATGCAGTGTCACAGAACTGAAATATCTTGACTTAAACTAATGTAATTGCAATTGTCCTTTTATTCAGTTCCAGACGTTTTGAAGAGGAGCCTTAACCTTCGATTCTCCATTTAATTTTTAGTGGACAAAGCGTGGTTGAATGTATCTGTTCTTAGTTCGTGGAAATTAATCAAAATAAATGGTTTTTAATGTTAAGAAAGGAAGCCGTGGATTATTTTCTGCCCCACGCAAGCATAAATTAACCTGCGCTACAAATAACGATCTTTACTATTACGTAAACGCGCACCTTACTTCAAGCAAACGCGCGTGGGTGTCAAAAATAAAAAACGGAAAACAATGTAAAAAACCTCTCACGTGATAATGACGTCAACGGTACAAAACATGCGCTAAAGCTATGGCCCAAACAATCTTATTAGAAGAGAAACTACTTTCTAAGCAAAAAAGGCGAACAAAATGGGAGATGGATACAACCCAAATGAGCCAGAACACGCAAAATACTGCGAGGTAATCCAAATAGGAATCGACGATGACACAGCAGAGGTCACGATATTTTACACTCCAGAAAGAGGTCAGTTCCATTTCATCTTTTCGTCTGGTTTTATTCCGACTACTGCGAAATGAACTAGCCATTAACAAATCGAGTTCTTTACACATTTTCAGAATTTCAAGTCTCGAACGGATATGTCGCTGAAAGTAAAGACGAGACTAACAACGGAAGACAGTATCGAAGACTTAAGCTTGTTACATCCAAGGCGAACGTTCTTGAGATCAGAAGATATAAAGATAATGGAGGTAGCGTCCGTACTCACAATCAACGCAGTAAAGTCTACTCAGTAAATTTTCTCTGAGAAGACATAATAAACTCAAAAGATAGAACCGCCTTGTTTTGCAAAATAAACCAGAGGAACACAATGCTCAGTAGCTTTTGTTTGAGCGGTCGCAAATTAGGTTTTCATCCATAGACTCAAAAGTTAGAACCACCTTGTACAGCATGATGAAAAGTACCATAGGAAAATATTGCTCAGTAGCTCTCGTTTCAGTGGTGAAATTATAGGACTTCGTGTACATACCGAAATTTGGATAAGACACTGAGGGAGTTTTAAATTCACTTTTGCAATTGATATTCAAATACATCTACAACAAACTCTTCTTTCCTTTCCTTATATTAAAGAATACTTCGTTGATGCACGAGGAAAAAACTTTAACTTTGATGGGAGAAGGGTAAAAGTCTAAGGTAAGCAGCTTTGCCCTGTTTGCACTTCTCCTCTGTACTTACAATCCTCTACGGTTCTATTCTACCTGACTTGTTCCGGTCAGTTATTATCCAAACAATTTGCTGTATATACAGACGGAAGAATATACGCGCGCCGTGATTAAGTCTCGTCGCACTAAAAGGTCTGCTTCCCCTAAATAAATTCCCCGGCTTGTCGTCATTTCGATCTATTTTTACCTCAACTTCATTTCTGTCATTCCTTTCCAGATTCTAAAGTCTTCGAAGTAGGCCGGAAGGGATGAAAAACATGCTTTCAATGTGTGTTTAATAAGACGTAGTGGTTATAGCCTAGAAAATAAAGTTTGAATATTTTAACAATCAATGGTGGTAGTGTGCTTCCTAAACCAGACCCGCTGATTTGAATGCTAAAATCCTCAGCTTCAATGAGCGACCCAGCGGCTCAAACGCATGACGACATATTGCCTAGGTGATTTGCTATTCAATTGTTAGCAACTTTAAAACCGTGCCAAAACGCTAACGTCGCGATCACAGTTGTGCGGAGCAATGGCGGGACACGGGAATGACGAACCAAATCAATATGATTACGTCGACGTCGTGAACATAGGGGCAGACGATGAGGAGTGAGAAGTAACAATTTTTTATCGACGCACAAAGGTTTGAATTTCCACTGTTCTAAGATTAAATGATTCAAAATCATGAGTGTTTAATGCCTGCTCTTATACCTCGTGCTTCTGGTTAAATCGTTAGGACTTAAGTTGCCCAACGCCTATTTGGTAAGCAAAAAAGAAAGAAAGGCACATGGAAGGCAATATACAAAGATGGAGATCGTTTCTAAGAACGCAAATCGATTCGTGGTTCGCAGATACCGCGACGATGGAGGTTCGTACATGGAAGAGATTAGAACCCATCATTTTATTTATTCGAACTGACGGTAACAGCGACGGTGTCAATTTTGTTTAGATTTGCCAATTATTCGCACAGGAACATTTCTTCCAAATGACAAAATCACCGGTTCGTGACGAACAAATGCCTGTCTCTTCATCGACATAATTCAGTTAAAGTGGTAAACAACAGATATAAAATATAAAAAGCTCACAAGCTGAAGGGCATTCAATCCCTCTTCGCTTTTGTCCACTCATGCCTTTTTTGTACTTGCATGTTATTTTAATACTCCTTCAATGTCTGAAACGCTATTTTTATTGATTATCCTCACTGCGAACTTGCTAAAATGCATTACCTAGCTCCTTAAACAAAACTCTGTTTCAAATTTATTATACCTTCTTCCCTAGATTTCTATTTGGAGGATAGTGACGGATTTTGGATGGAACAAGAACGTGTCGATCTCGACTAGATTCAGGTGGATATTTGAAAATACGCGTTTACAAGTATTCACCGCTACAAAAAACTCACAGAAGATAACAGGATGACATAACTTGGAGTTCGAATTAAAATGATCCACGCACACTGAATCACTTATGTTTAGACTTATCTCACACCTTCTTGACAACTGAATCATAGTGCAATCTACGCCCTCTTCGCCAAGTGCGCATAAACATTTACTGCAATAAGCCTGTAAACCTATAATTTGTAATGTAACACAAGCTCTGTTGTTTCTTGTTTACCTGACAGGAACTTGCCTACATGTATGCCAACTTAAAATTGCATAGAAGAAAAAACAAAGTTATATCTGTTCGGATGCAATAAAAGCAAAGTTCAACTTTTTCTCTGCGTGTCTTCTTTTCTTAACTTAAAACGAACTATGTTGATGAACTATCGATCAGCGATCAAATTCATATGGGACAACAATTCATTGTTATGTCGATGACGCGCAGACAAGTGCAACCAAGATATCAGGATATGATCAAACTAAAATTTCTCCTTAGCTGTTACTCACACCCACTGAATTCCAATGACTTCCTGTATTTTCCCCGAAAGGAAAATAAGACTTAATTTTAGCTAAGCGAAGCAATATTCGTGAACGGAGATAACGGCGATATCTTAGGTTTACCTCGAAGTGCACAGAAAATTTTGTCATCATACCTATATTTTAATCGACCTAAGTAAAAAGAGATGGAGAATCCAGAGCCTGATGTCCCTTCAGAGGAAATTGTAGATGTTGGCACAAGGTGTCACAAAAGAGCTATCACGATAAGATACACACATACAAGAGGTTAGTTTTTTTAAGCAGTTTTGCTTTCCAGAGAGCATTTTAAGGTTTTAAATTCAGCTTAGTCTGGTTTAGTTATCC